GCCGCACGGGAGAGACACGGGCCGCACGGGAGAGACACGGGCCGCACGGGAGAGACACGGGCCGCATGGGAAGACGCACGGGCCGCACGGGAGAGACACGGGCCGCACGGGAGAGACACGGGCCGCACGGGAGAGACACGGGCCGCACGGGGAGAGACACGGGAGAGACACGAGCCGCACGGGAGAGACACGGGCCGCACGGGAGAGACACGGGGCCGCATCAGTGCATAGAAAGGCCTGTGCTCAGCCTCTGGGGACGGGCCCTAGAAGACGCAGGCATTAACGCTCGCTGAACCTGGGACAGCGACCCATGCCGTGCTCCTTCAGGACGGAGGACGAACATTCGCACAAGATCCCTATTTGTGCTTCGGAATGGACGCGAGTAGGAATCAGAGCAGCGAACGTCCGCACACTCGTGGGCGCCCACCTTGGCCACTCGGCCCATGTCCTCCATCCTGGCTCTCTCGTGCGGGAACTGTGCGAAAGTCCGCTCGATCTTGGTGATGACGGCGTCGATGTTCACCGTGTCCTTTGGACGGCCTCGAGGGAAGTAGAACGTCGGAATGCTCTGGCTGGTGGCGGGCGGCAGGGGCTCCTCCTTCTTCGCCTGAACCTAAGACATAAAACAGACGGCACCCACGTGAGAACCTGTAAGCGTCCCGTGTCTTCACGCGCACGCGTAATCAGCAGGGGTGAGCCGGTCGAAAAGCAAATGCACCGAGCACCACCTCTGACCCGAGTGTGGACACACGACTCCACAGAGTCCCTGCGGGAGGACACACGGCCCGCCAGTGAGCGCCACGCTCCCCCGCGGGCCCTCGCTGCCGAGCCTCCTGCAGTCCTGCCTCGGCCGGGACCCCTCAGGACGGGGACGGGGATGCCCGGGCTGACTGAGAGGCCGACGCGGGTGCTCGCGGAGAACCTGCCCCGAGTCCTCCCGGGGGTCAGGCCCGGCCAGGTGGCCACTAACGCGCAGGCGATCGCATGCAGGAACGGGTGAACCGCGTGGGCCGCGCACACAGGAGTCACCTGCTCCCATGGTACCCCTCCTGGCGTGGGATGCGCCCACCGCCCTACCTGCGGGTGTCTCTCTGGGGAGAACAGGGCCGTCCGTGGCCTGAGGCTCTCTCTGCGAGGCCCCACAGCCAGCCTGCAGCCCGAGCCGCCAGCCTTGGCGGTGTGGCCGGACGTCCGACGCAGCTTCCCACCACCGTGGCGTCGGCACGTCCCCAGCGGCCGCCGCGTGCCGGATGCTGCTTGGCAGACCGCTCTGCACACAAAGCAGGGCTGCGGCACAGAAGTCCCCTACGCAGACATTTGACTGCTCAGGTCAACCACGGAGGAAACGTCCGTGCACAGTCGGCCTGGAGCTGGGTGCCGGGCCAGGCGTGGGGGACCGAGGCTGGGCGCCCTGCTGGGTGCGCCTGGTGAACCCGCTGCCCTGTCTCTGCAGGCCACGGTCCCCCCGCGGCGCTCGGCGGCATGTCCCACGCTGAGCCCGGACGGAGCACTTTCATGCCACCACACACAGCTGCCCTGAGCCGCGGGCGTGGACGGCTGAGAACCGCGCATCCGGCCACCCCGGCTGAAGTGATGCGGGAACCCAGTCCAGCCCACAGATGCGTGTCCCGTCCACACCCTGCGTCCTGTGGGTCGGGACACAAGGCCACGGCCACACGTGGCAGAGGCGGCCCGGCACCCTAGCGGGAAGTGCGGGAGGCCACGCGGGGAGGACGAGGGCTACGAAACACACAGACGAGGGGAATGCGGAAGGGCACACGCTGGCTGACGCCTGCTGAGCTCCGTGTACACGGCAGCAAGGCCGGGCCTGCTGCAACCTGTGAGCCCGGGCTGGTGGAGGGCACACCCGGACGTACGCGGGCACCAGAGGCAAAGGCTGACCCGCGGGCAGGCTCCCGGGAGCGCAGAGCGCCCAAGCCCTGCTGTGGCCACGGCTGAGGGAGGGACCCGCACAGCAACCCCAGCCCAGTGAGGACAAGGGGTCCTCCCGCTGTGCCTGGGGTGCTCAGAGCACAGCGAACATGCCCACCGGCCGTGCCCATGGGTGCAGGGAACAGACCACACGGTCTGCCACAGCATGCTGTCAGCAAGCCTGGTCCTGCACGTGTCTGATCCCGCCTCCCCGCGGGACCCTTCACCCGCCGTGCGGGATCCCCCTTCGTGCTGCCGAGCGGGACCCCGTCCCCGCTCCGTGACAGCCACAGAGACGTCCCCATGCTCCAGTCACAGTCCAGTGCTGTCCCCGTGCCCCCAGGTCACAGCTCAGCACACAGTCCCTGTGCTCCCCGGTCACAGCTCAGAGACCGTCTTCCGTCAACCTCAGTCACACGGCAGGACAGTCCCCGTCGTCCTGGCTCACACATCAGAGACAGTCCTGTGTCCCCTCAGTCACACGTCAGGAGGGTCCCCATTGTCTGGCGTCCCACATCAGGGATGGTCCTGTGTCCCCTCAGTCCCACATCGGGACGGTCATGTGCCCCCTCAGTCCCACGTCGGGACGGTCCTGTGTCCCCTCAGTCACACATCAGGAAGATCCCCGTTGTCCGGCGTCCTACATCACGAACGGTCCTGTGTCCCCTCAGTCCCACGTCCGGGACTGTCCTGTGTCCCATGAGTCCCAGGGCAGGGACGGACCTGTCATCAGGTCATTCCCTCTACTCCTCGGTGCTCAGAGGCCTCCCCTTCCAAGACTCATGCACGTTTTCGTGAGACGCGTTCTCTGTTCAGCCACCGCGGGGGCAGGCGTAATCGAACACAGCAGCGTCCGGCTTCCGGGGCCTTGAACCTTCGTACAGAGAGCAAGCGCACACAGGAGCGCACGGAGAGATGCAAACCAGGGGAGTGTGGTGTGGGGGCGGGGG